AACGTCTTTACTTTGTCACATGTAAACAACAACTGAATCTAGTTTGCCATTTTATGCAGGAAGTTAATTGTATTGTTGCGTCATCATGACACAGATGGCGCTAGGAGTCTCTGTCAGAGATATTATTGGTCTAAGAATAAAAACATTCTTATTATAAGAGTTTTTTTTCGAAACTGTCATCCTTTGGTTCACTGTCGGGCATTGGTGCTTTTACCTTATGTCTATTTGATTTATTGAAGACTCAGGGTTATTGCCATCATCAAATGGGGCTTTCCAAATGTATAGTCGTCGCTTGGGTAGTTTATACCAGGTGTTTGCAATGATCATATCGTTTTCTTTACAAAATTCATACAATCTCTGTCCTCGATCGTTAGGTTGTCCTAAACCATAAGGACTTACAGTCTAACCTCGGCGACCTTCCCCAATTGTTGCATTGAAGTCGCCTATAATATATAAAATTTCGTGTTTATTAAGTTTCTGTAAGATGTCTTGGATCTGATCATACAACTTCTCGACTTCATCGTCATATTTTCTATTTGCAGTCGGGGCATGGATTTGAAGTATGTTAGTTTTAAATGGTTGAGTATTTATTTGGAGTAATATTATTCTATCCGAGACTGGTACGAAATTGGTCACATATTTACTCAGTTTTGATGTTACTAATATACCTACACCATTTTTGTGATGCGGGTCTTCTGTGCTGTTACCGGAATAATATAATACATTTCCGTCCTTTTTACATGATCCTGACTCAGGACATTCATTTCATTCTTTTCATTTTACTGATACATCATTTTATTGCTATTTTTATAAAACAACATGTTTTATTATTTACACAACCTTGTAAAATTGTTGTAGTAACTATTAGAATTCTTAAATATTGCAAAAAGCCGAAATATTCTGTAAAAAAATGAAAAAATTACGAAAAATACAAATTATCCACACTAAACAAGGTTTGTTTGGAAAGTGAAACTGACAGATGTCAATAAAATCTACGTCATCACTCCGGCAGTCCATAACAGGTATGATACTCCCGAGTGCGAAATTGGGACGAGTTCGCGCATTACGTCACAATGAGAATGATTTGAAATATTCCCCGTAAGAACATCGGTGCTTACATCTTTAATTACCAATTAAAAGTCATTTTATGGGTTAATAGAGTTTCTATTGAACTATTTTGGCTTTATTGAAATATAGGTGTTTTATTATTTTGATTTAAAAAATTAATAAAAAATACAGTGAACAAAAATAAATCTGTATAATAAATTAATTTTAGTTTTTTTTTTATTCTTCGATTTTTAATCCTAGGAAGAATCTTCGTAAATTTTACGAGCTCTCTTTTGATTGGCTTGTCTTATTTGGCGTCAGTCTCGATGGGAAAATAATTGATCAGTAATTATCTGTAATAAAATCGAGAAAACAAATGAAACACAACGTTTTAAGTTACAATTTTTTTTAATTTTATCTGTTTTAAGTGTTTAATTTCTTAATTCTAAAATACATTTGAAAGCGAAAAAGATTGTGTAATTATCTGTGACACAATCCTCTTTCCCTCTTTTCGAAAGTCTTTCCTGCCTTTGATTTTGATTTATGAATAAAAGTTTCGATTGTGGCAGATAAAGAAAAGGAACAGCATCAATTTTCAGCTTAGGTCCTTTCTTTGATTCATATTACAGCAATTCATTAAGTACTTGGAATCCTTAAGGTTTTAGTATTAAATTTGTCTTCACAACAAGCAATAACCCACAGGTTTCCACTAACGAGTCCTTGAGAAAACCATGAAACCTAACAGATTTATCGGCATCTCTTGTCTGATTATGACTCAAACAACCAGCTACTACACAACGCATGTTATGTTCAGCTTATAAATTGTTCCTAGCGAAAGTCGCTAAAAAATGCAGGAGGGGTATGAGTATGGTTGGGTATTAAGTACGGACTCAATAATAATTAAACATACCTTATACACATACCTTACCATACCATACAACATACCTTAACTTCTAAAACACCAAATTATTAACTATTAAGTCCAACATTCTTTTATTATTAAATATCGTGTACCTTAAATTTAGATTTTTATTATTAGTAAGTAAATGTCATCAAATTTTGCTTCCGTTTCTCGTCTTATTTTTCTCTGATTTCATGAAATTCATAGAGTTGACGCGAAATTAAATCATAATCCTACGTCCCGTGGATCTCACATGAACAAATTATATGACTCTTTGAATGTGGTGTGTAAGTACCGAGCTATGTTCCGGTGATCATGTATTACATGTTTCCATTTGATATATTAAAGGGATATACTTCGATAATAAAATTGTATGAACCTCTTTTGAACGAAGAACACTAAAGAGCTCAAATAAGTCTTCACAATTATTACAATAACAGCACTGGCAAGTTCGTTGAAGCCTCACAAAACACATCTGTAAGTTTTTTAGGAAATACACAGTGAGCTTAAGTGTAACAAAAACTAAGTTAAGGAAATATTTACCTACCAAAACGAGATATTATGATGACTAGCACTTGTTATGGAGAAGAAATGATGGAAACTACTACAAATAGAATGAGAATAAAAATAAAACCTGGAGAAAATGCCGGCGTTGGGGTGGAATTATTGGCGATTCCACGTGCTTTTAATATGCTACGAAATTATACCGCCGGTATTCTCTGGGGTTTTTAAGTGGGCTGTATTATTTTGAGTGTCTATTGTACGTAAAGAATACGAGTAACTTGTAGCTAATATTTATTTTTCTACGTACTATACTTAACACAAAACACAATATATAACGGGTACAATATATAATATACGTGGTTACACAAAGTTATGGTTCACAATCGCGGAGACAACTTTTCTTATTGCTAACCACTTGATGAGATAGGCACGCTCCGAGAATCGCAACTCACAAAATCACAAATTTTTGTATTTAAAGCACCATCCGTCTTCCTCGGGGGTTACTAGCAGAGAGAGTGGCTTTATATTTCTTCGACCATCGGTCGCCTAAATCGGGTACTAAGTAATTGTTCATAGGGTCCGAGTACCGTTAGAGATTATCCAGTACCGTTAGAATTTATTTGTAATGTATTGGAATGAATGGGCGTCTTGGCCTACAGGGTGGAGTAAAGTTAATGAACAAGGGGAAATATACTATTTTGAAAATTACAGGGTTGTAAACAAAATCAGTTTACAACCAAAACCTACTGTGGTAGTTGAAGAAGGAGAGGATAGATATTGCGGACCAACTTGCATGATGACCCTTCACTTCTATATACAAGTTTACTTGGTATATTTTAATTTTATAAATAATAATTATTTTTTGTAAACTTCTGTAAGAAACTATTTGTATAACGTTCTAAACTTTTAGTATTATTTTACAATAAAAAATGTACTCATGTATGTTGTTTTTTTTTTTGTCCTAATACTCTTACCTATAATACCTGTAATTATTATTAACTCGTTATAACACATGTAGTATTAGGTAATATTTTCTAAATTGTTTGATTAGCAGCTCAAAGTTGATCACTCATATTACGCGTTCAAATACGAGATATAGCGTCACGTTTTATTTCAAACTACCCCACAAAATAACATTTTTTATACCCTTGATCAGAGATATGTAATGAACGACACTGGGGCGTATGCAACCAAAAAGACATCGTTTCAGTGAAGTATTTAGTATAACTTCTCCAGAAAGATACTCATTATTCTTTTTATATACTGCATAACTATAATTCCATATAAAATTATGGGGAATACGTAAAAATAATTAAGAAGTTTTTGGAATTAAAAATAAATTTTTTTATCCATCAAATTAGGGGAAAGAAAATTTGAATTCACTAAAAATTGCATGCTCTGTGGCATGGTCAACTGGCGTCTGGCAGCGTGTAAATATTCTATGAGTGATATTCTGTCACTGTCAAGTTATTAGTGTCACGCAGTGTTGCCAATCGGCGCATAATTATGCGATTTGCGCATAATTTAGTTGCCGGCGCATAATTTTCGCATCCTGCATAAAATCACATAATTTCGCACAATCCAGCAAATCAAAAAAAAAAACAATGACAAGCCACAGTTTGTAATAAGAGTACTCGTCTTCTTGTTTGTTTTAAAAGAAAACGTTTGTACTGACATTTTACACAGCCACAAAATAATAAACAATTGGGTTGAGTTTACCGAAAGTACAAGCTGAATATAGCCGCAAATGTCAAAAATATTTCGGTTTGGCAGTGTTGGCATGTTTTATAACGCATGTTGTATGCTTCAAATATAAAGAGATAAAGCTTTTAAAAAGTACATTTTGATTATACCATTTATTGAATTCTGCAATTTTTAATTTACATGAAGCAATAACGAGTAGATATTTGTCTTTTTTGAGATTAATTGCAATTTTTTTGTAATCTGGCAACTGCTGATTTGACGATTGCCAAATCTATCCTCTAATCTATCAAAGGGTAATTGCTAAAAAATTTCTAATTATTATCTGCAATAAATCTCCAAAGAAACAAATATTTACTCATTGTTGTTTTATATAAATCAAAAATTGCAGAAGTCATAACATAATATAAACAAAATGTACTTTTCTAAAGCTTTATCTTTTTATATTTGAAGTATACAGCATTTACATTTACAAAAACATGCCAACACTGCTATAGAGAAAGTTTTTGTTCTATGTTTGACATTTGTGGCTATAATCAGCTTGTACTTTCGGTAAACTCAACACGTCATTGTCTTTAGCAAATAAAAATTACTTTATCGAAGAAAATTTTATATTCAAGACTTAGATACAAGAAAACATAAATAACTTCCCATATCAGAAACGATATATGACATGATACAAGAAAATGCATAGTGTCATACGGCCTTTACAATGACAACTAACATGACGTGACAGATGACAGTAAGGTTACAACAGAGCGCATAATTTTGTACAAAATCGCATAATTTTTGACAGGGAGGTGCATCCTTCCATGCCCAGCCACTGGTAACACTGGTGTCACGTGACGTGAGTTTGTCTGTCGATCGTTGTTGTGGGTTGACCTGTCATTTTTGTTTAATTTGGGATAATCTAGAAACAAAAATTAATTGGTAAGTCTCTCAAAATCTGTCTATTTTCACTCGTTTTGCGATTGATCCATATAAAATATTCTTGAGATGCTTTAAACTGAGATAATTACATTGGACGACGCCATTTTCCTTTAGAATACATTTCATGATGAATGGAAATGAATTTCTTAATTTTACCCACATATGCTTCTGTTTTATTAGTTTAAAACTCTATCATCTAAAGGTTTTTTAGTATCATAATAAGATACATTAGAATTGATAGCTGTCTGTTTTACCAAAAGGTAATAATTGTCTTTTTGTTCATACTTACTCTTTTTGGGAATGTTAATTGATTAATTACATATTTTTTAATTCTATCCAAGTTTTTTACATTGAAGAGTTTCTTTTTATACAAGTAGGCAAATAATATATCACAAAGCATTGAATATCATTTCATTGTTGTCCTTATTTATGCACTGAATTTTTGTTTTGAAATAATTACTTATGTGAACAAATAATGAAGTTTTTTATTTTACTTGTTTTTCCTATGCTGTGACGTTGTTTAATAGTGTGTTCTAAGTACTATTTGGTGTATTAAAAATAACTATTGTGCCTTAAATTGCTTACTTACTATGGTTGTCTTTGTTGTTTGGAGAAATTATATACCAATAAGGATAAGGCAGCTGTTACTTGTTAATTTTGAATTAGTCTTGCAGCTAATTCGGAATAACAAATGGGTATTTGCCCATAGATAAATAATATAGTATATAGGTATTCGCAACTATATAATAATTATGTTATTGATAATTAAGCAATTCAATATAACATAACATTAACATATTGGTCAAAGGTAATGACTTATAACTCAGTTATGTATGCCAATCTACAAAAAAATGGTGATATAAAATAACACATTTCTAATTGCTTTAAATCATAGAGAGTACCTAGTAAATCGTAAAGATGCAATTGTATATAATTAAATCACCATATTTTTTTTTATAAACAATGCCCGCTACTCACCTCAACATTGTTTTTTATATAAACAATGCCCAAATTGTTTAACAATTGATGACATAAGTGGATAAAGATGTTACGCCACATTTTTTTTTAGTTATGAGTAAATTGATAAAATACATTTTGATCTGGAATTTTTCTATTATGTTTTAGATTGAAATTGGTAAAACTCTATTAGTTAAATGAGTTTAAAGTATGGTCTGTGATATGATTTAGAAATATTTCAAGATTAAAATCTCTTGAAAAAATATTTTTTTTGTATACATAACACCTTTATCCACTAACCTACAAAGAGAAAGTTTATATGATTTATTGTGAATAAAGGAATTATACATTTATGAAAGTAAGTAATTCTTTATAAAAAATTTTTAACACTAAACTAAATTAGTACAATTTCCGGGACTTTTTGGTCTTGGGGTTGTTCTGATTTTGCTCTAAAAACTCTTCATAGAACCATCTATAGTTGTCTATAAATTTGAGATGATCTCTTAAATTAGACATTTTCTCAGTTGTAAGACACCCACATCTGGGCAGCTGCCTTGATGTAATAGAACTAGGTTCAACTTGAGATGTACCTTTCTTATGTACATCCACTTCCAAATATGGAGTGGACGGAGGATCTAAACAGGTTTTAAAAAAATAATAGCCAAATTTTTTTACTCTAATCCATTTAACACTACTGAAGATTAACTTTGAATTTGTCACTCTCTTCATTAAATGAAGCATGGCTGGAAGTGCTTCAAAATCAAACAAGAAATGCTGCATATTTACACACATACTGTCTTTAGTACTAGCAGAAGTGATAATTCCACGATATTGGTCTAGTGTAAAAATATTTTGATGCTTCCTAAACACTTTCTAGATTCAACCAAAGTCTAGATCAGAATTGAGATAACTGTGTCCTACTTCGGAATAATTATGTTCAATTCTTTTGAACCAGTTATTTAAAATTAAATATTAATACAAAGTAATGAAAAATTTTTTGTTTAGGCCTTCACATATTCCGACCATATTATCAAATGGTCAATTTCAGGATTCTCTTTTTTTAATAATTTGTAATACCGCAACAGACAACTTCCAATTTCATTACTGAGTCTATTAGCAATATTCTCTGTCCATGTAAAAAAATAGGATTTGTGTCCTGAATGTTTCCTGCAATGGATACTGAAGTTGAACATCCTCATTTGCCTCAATTAAAAAGCCTCTGATGTAGACAACTTCGGAAAGGGCATGGTCTATTGGAGATCCATTGTTATATAGCATATATTCTTAGTAACAGATGGCCTACCTATCAAATTATTGGGACTTAGCAAAAATCTTTGTTTTTAATAAAGTTGGCTCTGTACCATTAGCAGTGATATGTCTTATATTTTGTTTACTGGATAATCAAATCGTTTCTTTTTCAGTTTCTGCTTCAGTAATACTTATGTCTTGCAATGTTGCTTCATTTGTAAAGAAACAGTTACGCTTAACCTCCTCGATATTTTCTTTATTATATTTACCAGTATTTTTCCAGTCATCAGAATCATTTTCATCCAATGGAGAACATAAGTATGGAGAATACTTACTACCAGATGTAACATCTTAAAAACTTTCGTTGATATTACTGGATGATGTAGCAGCTTCTTGAAAACTATTATTTGTATTATCTGCAAATAAAAAAAGTTCCAATACCAATGTAAATAAGAACCACATTGTTAATATAGAACCTTTGAAAATATAATATTCACTGTTAGTGAAACATCATTATAACATACTTACCAATATTGAAAAAAGTTGACTTGTGTTCTTCTAATGATTTAAACATTGTTTAATTCTGGATCCCATAATAAAATTTTAGGTATTTTTTATCAAAATACTTATTTATTTAATAGTACAGACAACATGAAAGCACTGCTTAGTTACAATAACACAATGAACATAACTTCAAAAATTTGACATTACTCCAGCTCTGAACAAGAAACTTCCTCATTTTGATGGGATAAAGGCATTGAGCAAAAAGACAAAAGAGGGAATCTAATTGTTATGAAAAGGAGACCAAAAAATATCCGGAAATGTTAATGTGCCAAATTTAAATTTCATAATGAGGGCCATCAAAGATTTAGAATTGCTAAAGTCTGTTAAACACTGAAAATACACATAGTGAGGTGAAATCAATATAGAATACTACAACTTATCCTTAAAGGCACAATAGAAGGCCATAGAATTGTAGGAAGAAAACAGGCCATAGAATTGTAAGAAGAAAACAGGTGACTTGGTTAAAAAATATTCATGAATGGACTCAGATATCAAATGAAGGATATTCCATGTGGCAGAAGATCCAGAAGCCTTCACAATGGTGATAGCCAATGTCAGATAATTCTGGGCGTGTGAAGAAGAAGAAAGCATTCCCTTGCAAGGCATTATTGATTCAGTAGTAAAAAATCAAACACAACTAGCAAATAAAAACTATTTTTAGTAACATTAATTTTTTTATGTTCAATAAATTGTTTACAAATCTATAATACTATTTTCCAGACTTGTTTACATGGAGGCATTGTACTTTTTAATAATATCAAAAGACTATAAATAGAACTTGAAAAATATTATTTATTTTTATTAGTAGGTACTTTGTTTGTAACAAACATGTTTTGAATTTGTTTCTTGGTGTATTTTCTGCTAGGTGTGTATATACCTAATCTAAATTGTGATATAAATAAATAGAAAACATTTGATATATTACCTCAACAAAATATAGCATGGAAAAAACTTTGTATCTACCTCTTTTGTTATTTTTATCTGTCTAAAATTGCAAATTAGCACAATTAGTGGTGATAAGTCAGGAGTGAGTTCATTACAAATATCAACAACTATTTTAAATTACCTCTTCATTACAATACAAGAAAGCTTTCAAGAACCTTAATATCCTTGAAATTTTTTGGAATTTGATCCATCAGAATTATTTTTTAATTGAGCTTATTGCATCAGCAGCTTGTTTGTTGATAAGATTAGCTATAGCTTTGTTTAGTTTTGACAAGATTGATTGGAATGTTAATGATACATAATGAGAATAAAATTACAAAGGTAACAGATACAAGATACAGGTCATGATAATATGAACAAATACTGGAGCTGGGAACAACAAAAAAATAGAGGAACATCAAAAAGATTAAGAGTAAGATATACCAAATTTTTTAAACACAAATTCACATCTCTCAAAAAACCAATTTCTGTAATTTACTTTAGTGAGTTGCTTATTATGCATCTAAAATTAATGAATACCTTGTCCTCTTCATCTACAATATACATTTGACTTTATTGGGGCTCCTCAGATTGTGATAGGTCAAAGACAAACTTGAAGACAATTTACTTTTCTGTCTACCAAGTTTATCTTTGATTACACTGTGTAGCAATATTGTGGTCAGTTTGATTATTGATATTGATGATATTGATTTTTATCTATTTTTCAAAATATGATAGTTTTGAATAAGGAGGATTGTGCTAAAGCCTTTTAGTTCTCTTATAAGAGGGACTAAGATTACATAAGTTGTTCTGTAAGAAAAATACATGTGCAGTCAAGAGAAGTTTCGATTTTGTAGAGTTGTCAAAAACAAACTTTGGTTTAATTGAGTCACAGCCTACCTATAGCAGGGGTAGCTCATCCAGCTCTCCCTGCCAGAATCAAGTGCTTAATTGTCCATTCCTACACTACATCAAGGTTTGCACTCTCTGGGCGCAGTCGCATCATTGTCACCAGCGCCATCTCTTTGACATATAAGTCTAGAGGAGTGATGCCAATGACCAACTACATTGCAGCAGTTGGTGCTGTTTGCATGGCACCTGTTGTATTTAGACAAGCCATCCGCTGAATATGGTTTAGTTTGTTAATCGCTGTTGCCTGTAGCACTTTTGGTACCCAAGCAAAAGCTCCATAAATTAGCATTGGCCTACTGACAGCTGTGTAGATCTAGGCGATCACCATGGGAGAAAGACCCCAGGCAATATATGCTCTTTTAGCTACCATCTAAATGAGAAGTGATAGTATAAGG